GTCCCGGCAGTGTTGGCAAGTATATTATTGATCAGAATGGTTCAGTTAAATCATGCTAGCTGCAGGGGAGCTAGGGACGAGAGAGGAAAACGTTCCTTTATTAGGTCTGACTTTGGTTTATCTCTTCACGTAACTCACATAGAGACAGATGATTGTCACATTTACTTAGATAACCTGGAGTTTAAACATGTTTTGAATTAGGGTCACTTCAGCCGAGGGAGAATTTGTATAAGCAGCATGATGATAACAAGATCTGTTAGTTTACTAGTTGCATACAAAGCAGAACAATTTCAAAATTTTCGATTTATGTTTGCAAAACAATTTTTTACATTTTATTTGAACAAATTCAAGCAGTGTTGTTCATCTCCCAGCCCACCGTAGGGGGTTCTTCTTGGTTCGTGTTGGCCCATTTCTCTTCTGATTGGTTTAATTTATTTCAGGTGTTTAAACTGCTATTGAGCATCACATATAAGGCCAAGTAGTGCAAGCAATAACATGAATAATCCATTGGCAGCTCCTGACAGACCATGAGAGAAAATGTGATCTCTATTACACTCAGGGGGAAGGAAAAGCAGGCTGCCATGGCATTAGCCTGTCCACATAAACACACTTTGCATTTTTAAGCTGGAAACATCCATCTCTTTAAGAGTTGTGCTAAAAGATATTCAACATCACGGGGAATTTTCTCCACTGATATACTTTGGGCCAAAAATAAAATACCATTTTATTTATTTATTTGTTTGTTTGTTTGTTAAGCTCTTTTAGAGATTTTCTGGCATGTTGAAGTGAGATTCTATGGAAAGCTTTGGAACAATGTCATTATTAACCACTGTAGATAGTTCTACGAACAGACTCAGTTTGCAGAAAGAAAAACCTGAAACAAGTTTCCCAAGTGGATTTTGCCTCAATTTAATTTAAAGGTGTGGTTAACTGAAAAAAAAATTATTTTTATGATTATTTCTGATCAGTCACTGAGTTTTTCATGCAGCCTCAACATGAAAATAGTCTACTACATGTATCTCCTACATTAGCTTCTGATAGAAAATAGATGGTCAAAATCTAGGATTTGAAAAGCCTGACAGATCTACGTCTACAAAGGTTTGCCACATTTGTGGCATCAAGGAGGCAAAGCAACGAAAGTGTGAACTAGACAAAGAGCTAAAATCAGAGTGAACACTGGCACAGCCACACTTGTTAGCAAGGTATTTTAATACAATTGTAATTTCATTTTCAACCAGAAGGGTGTGAAATGGTAAAATTTAAGTTTTACTTTAATATGAATATTAACTCATTTAGTTTAACCAAGGGGACATTTTAGTCTGCGGTATTTTAAGCTGTGAAGGAGTAGCTAAAATTGCAGTTCCGCCCTCATCCACTAGGCACCAGAAGTGAGCAAATCCTCATTGACTCCCATGTTAAAAATGCCATTATCACAGCAGAAATAAACATGTTTACAGCCTGGTTCAAAAAAAAATTTTAGGTTAAATAGATCTAGTTTACATTCATTACAACTCTGAGGGGGGTGATTTTTTTGTAACTCTTCTGTTTAAGTGTAATAAAATGCTTAGAACTCTGAATAACTAATGAGAATCATGTGACTTCAGAGCTAGCAATGGGAGCTAGGTCCTGGGAAAGGCCTCAGCCTGGTCCTCACGTTCATAGATGTTCGGCCATTTTGACTGTCGAAACTTTAGTTGTGTCCTCGGTGTGTTCGTGTTTGGATGTTAATCATGGAATTATTTAGCCTGGCAAGCCAGACTAAATAAATATATTATTATGAGGAAGAAAATACATCAATTTTTTATATAAATGAATTAAGCACCTCTATCTGCTCATGCAAGTCTCAAAGAAAAGTCTTAATTGTCCAAAGGTGATGCCAAAGCTGTTTCAAACAAGTGCCGACCTGAGCAGATGCAACCTTTGCAGTTTTTCTTCGGGGACCTAACTGAGAGTAAAAGCTATTTTGAGAGAAATCAGAACAACTTTGTAAGCATGTAGGGTTAAATCAGGTGTCCAACCCTGGTTGAAAAGGGCCTCTATCCAGCTGTTTTAGTTGTTATCCTGCTCCAGCACATCTGATTCAATGGCTGAATTACATGTTCAGCAGCTCATCAAGATATGCAAAAGTCAATGGCCATTGATTCAAATCAGGTGTGTTGAAGCTGGGCAGCAGAAACTAAATAATGCTGGATAGGGGATCTCGAGGATGGCTAGGGTTGGGCACACCTGGGTTAAACATACTTCCATATACAGTGGGGAAAAAAAGTATTTAGTCAGCCACCGATTATGCAAGTTCTCCCACTTAAAATGATGACAGAGGTCAGTAATTTTCATCATAGGTACACTTCAACTGTGAGAGACAGAATGTGAAAAAAAATCCATGAATTCACATGGCAGGATTTTTAAAGAATTTATTTGTAAATCAGGGTGGAAAATAAGTATTTGGTCACTTCAAACAAGGAAAATCTCTGGCTCTCACAGACCTGTAACGTCTTCTTTAAGAAGCTTTTCTGTCCTCTACTCGTTACCTGTATTAATGGCACCTGTTTGAACTCATTATCTGTATAAAAGACACCTGTCCACAGCCTCAAACAGTCAGACTCCAAACTCCACTATGGCCAAGACCAAAGAGCTTTCGAAGGACACCAGGAAAAGAATTGTAGACCTGCACCAGACTGGGAAGAGTGAATCTACAATAGGCAAGCAGCTTGGTGTGAAAAAATCAACTGTGGGAGCAATTATCAGAAAATGGAAGACATACAAGACCACTGATAATCTCCCTCGATCTGGGGCTCCACACAAGATCTCATCCCGTGGGGTCAAAATGATCATGAAAACGGTGAGCAAGAATCCCAGAACCACACGGGGGGACCTGGTGAATGACCTGCAGAGAGCTGGGACCACAGTAACAAAGGTCACCATCAGTAACACACTACAACGGCAAGGAATCAAATCCTGCAGTGCCAGAAGTGTTCCGCTGCTGAAGCCAGTGCATGTCCAGGCCCGTCTGAAGTGTGCCAGAGAGCACATGGATGATACAGCAGAGGATTGGGAGAATGTCATGTGGTCAGATGAAACCAAAGTAGAACTTTTTGGTATAAACTCAACTCGTCATGTTTGGAGGAAAAAGAATACTGAGTTGCATCCCAAGAACACCATACCTACTGTGACGCATGGGGGTGGGAACATCATGCTTTGGGGCTGTTTTTCTGCTAAGGGGACAGGACGACTGATCCGTGTTAAGGACAGAATGAATGGAGCTATGTATCGTGAGATTCTGAGCCAAAACCTCCTTCCATCCAGCTGTTTTAGTTGTTATCCTGCTCCAGCACATCTGATTCAATGGGTGAATTACATTTTCAGCAGCTCATCAAGCTATGCAAAAGTCAATGGCCATTGATTCAAATCAGGTGTGTTGAAGCTGGGCAGCAGAAACTAAATAATGCTTTGAAGATGAAACGTGGCTGGGTCTTCCAACACGATAATGATCCCAAACACACCGCCCGGGCAACAAAGGAGTGGCTCCGTAAGAAGCATTTGAAAGTCCTGGAGTGGCCTAGCCAGTCTCCAGACCTCAACCCCATAGAAAATCTGTGGAGGGAGTTGAAAGTCCGTGTTGCTCGGCGACAGCCCCAAAACATCACTGCTCTCGGAGATCTGCATGGAGGAATGGGCCAAAATACCAGCTACTGTGTGTGCAAACCTGGTAAAGACCTATAGTAATTGTTTGACCTCTGTTATTGCCAACAAATGTTATGTTACAAAGTATTGAGTTGAATGTCTGTTATTGACCAAATACTTATTTTCCACCCTGATTTACAAATAAATTCTTTAAAAATCCTACCATGTGAATTCATGGATTTTTTTTCACATTCTGTCTCTCACAGTTGAAGTGTACCTATGATGAAAATTACTGACCTCTGTCATCATTTTAAGTGGGATAACTTGCACAATCGGTGGCTGACTAAATACTTTTTTGCCCCACTGTAATTCCCCTAAACATCCACAGCTCGTGCACAAACCGTAGAAGCAGGATATCAGTTGATAAGAGTTTACAACATAATCACAAAATACAATATCATAATTCCAGATAAGCCTAGCATTGCCATGAGTACCAAAATGCAGCTCAACTCATCTCACAGTGTTTTAAGCCCTTTTCACTAGTAACAGGTTCGTGGTTGGTCGCCAGCTTTTCCGTTACTGCTTTGGTGTAATTTCTGAGCGTAGCGAGCCAGGCTGAAAACCTCACAGCAGCAAACGTTCATCACCGCTCCAGAATTTTCCACCTACTGCCTCGCTGCCCGCAGCCTTTTCCAGGCTCAGTCGGACAAAAAGAAGCTAAACGCAAAATGTTCGCCATCACCACCGCCACTGTTGTGCTGTTTTTGTGTCACATAAGGTCAAGGTCAAATTTATTTCTATAGCAGTTAAAACAGCAAATACTGCCCTTTAAGTGCTTCTTCCACTTAGATGATAAACACAACATAAATAAGCAAACACTGAGGTGAAATCTTGCATTTCTTGATAAATCAGCTGAACTCACTTCAGTTATTGCTTTACTTCGGTATCCTATCATGGATTTAAAATTTAAAGGTAAATAAAAAAAGATATGTGGAGAGATAATTCTCTCCAAAAACACAGGAAGCCTTCTTTTCACTCTCGCTGCACACTGAGCTGCTCCTTGACAACAAAATGGATATATCAGGCTGCTTCTTAGCATAGAGACGATTTTACATTCATCACACAGACCCATCGCCTATTCGAAGCACGTCCGTCGACATGACTATGAAATGAATAGCCAGAGGCTACCGACCCAGACACATCAGCTCCTTTCAGGCCATCTAACAACACTTTCTCAAGTCTTCACATTGATTCTCTTATTTTGAGCTCACTGCAGCCTTCTAGGATGTAGTTTGGTCTTTGTGTGATGAGAGCAGCAACATGTGGAGTTCAGGAGTATGTATGTGTGTGTGTGTGTGTGGGGGGGACAACACTTGTACTTGACAAATTGACACAGATTTGAAGATTTGAAGTTCAGGCAAAAGAAGCATTTTTTTCCCCATAATTTATTAGCCTGAGGACAAACACAGTAAACATTGATTTCGCGACACCTTCACAAGTTGAAATAAGCACTTTAAATGTCACACCCATTAGTTTTAGTCAAATTTTAATAAAATATATCTTTATTTTTTTTATTCCATGACATAGAATGAATATGAAATGTTTTATATTAAATATTCTAATGTTTTACCATAAATTCAACTTTTTTCCCCCAGTTTTAGAGAAAATAAAATCTGCCTACAATTTCTTTTATCGGCTGTGCGATGATTTAGCACCAAGACAAAAACAAGGCATTATGATGCTGGCTGTGGTCATGCACCATTTCACCGTCTACAGTTTTAAACATAAGACTCACATTACAATGTGTAATAAAAGATGCAAACCGGAGTATGCTGAAATAAAAATAAAAAAAAACAAATTAAAGTCTTCAGAAAGACATCCCAGATGACTAAAAACAAACACTGATCACATTAAAAACCTCGCCACCTCTTCTTATTCAACAAGAATGCACTAAAGAGTACCTGAAAATGAAATGCGTACAAAATTATATTAAAGCTCTTTAAAAAATACCCCATAATGTTTTCATCTCAACCTGAATCGATCCAAAAGTGATTTTTTTCTCAAAAAACGGTGTAAATAGAAGCTGATTGTCAATAAGACAGGAGTGTGTCTTCCTTGTCACAAACAAATCGAAAATCTCTGCAGGATAAAAAGTGGAAAACTGTTTATGAATTATTTGTATATAAAAACAAACATTCTATAGATTTTTTTCCTCCATGTATCCAGTTTGTTGTCTCCACAGGAGTAGCACAAAGTCAACAACAAACATTAGGCACCATTTATGGAAGCTTATCTTGCTGCTGAACAGACTTGATGCTTTGTTTTAACCTCTTGGTAAACAGGTGGCCAGCTCTGCCGCAGTAGGTGTGTGTGGTCGTCTGCAACGAGGCCTCCAGAGGATGAAGCAGGGAGGTCTCCATGTTCTCACCAAACGGAAACTAAAACAAAAACATACATCAGGTTAAAATTAGAACAGGACCGATTTCATTTTATTCTGTGGTTTGGTCTCTGGTGGCTGCAGCTACTTTAAAGATGATGATTTAAAAATAAACTGCTTATTTAAATAGAAGACTATATTGCCATGGTCTGCGCCTCCCTCATGTGTCTCCTTGTGTTCTCCATCCCCCTCTAGGATCCCCGTATGTGTCTCCTTATGTTCCTCATGTGTCCCCTTGTCTGCAGCCCCTCCAGGTCCCCCCCCCCCCCCCCCCCCCCCCCCCCCCCCCCCAGGTATTCCCCCAGGTCCTGTGCTCCCGTTGGTCTCCCCTAGTCACCCCTCTGTAGTTTTTCTATAGGTTCAGCTTTTCATTTAATTAGTCTCTTTTAGTGTGTTTCTTTCCTCACCGGTTTTTTTTAGTTCTCCTTCCTCCTTAGATCATTAGTTATTTATCTTACTCTTCTTGTCTTTAGGCTTTGTTTTTATTCTTAGGTCATGTTATTTTCCCCTCTTCAGCTCACTTTCCTCTCCCTGATTAGTTAATTGTTTTCACTAGGTTTCTCTCCCCACGCACCTGCAGCTTATCTCCCACTCATCCTGCCCCAGTGTATTTAACCCTGTCTGCGTCTCAATGTGGTTGTTGGTTCATTGTTTCGTGTCAGTGTTGTTTTGCCCCCCTTTAGGTCTCTAGGTTTTTTAGCTTATGCCCAACTAGCTTTTCTTTGGTTCTGCCCTATTTGGTATTTTTGGCTTCGTACCACGCTTTGTTTTTTCGTTGGACTTGTCATCTTAATAAAGATGTTTTATTTTACATCCTGTCCTGCTTCGTGTCGTTCTGGGTGTCTGCACATCGGGTCCTACTCCTCCGCTTCTCAACATGACATACAGGTGCTGGCCAGTAAATTAGAATATCATCAAAAGGTTGAAAATATTTCAGTAATTCCAATCAAAACGTGAAACTTGTACATTATATTCATGCAATGCACACAGACCAATGTATTTCCGATGTTTATTACGTTTAATTTTGATATTTATAGGTGACAACCAATGAAAACATCAAATCTGGTATCTCAGAAAATTAGAATATTCTAAAGGCCAATGAAAAAATGTTTGTTTCTCTAATGTTGGCCAACTGAAAAGAATGAACATGAAAAGAATGTGCATGTATAGCACTCAATACTTAGTCGGGGCTCCTTTTGCCTCAATAACTGCAGTAATGCGGCGTGGCATGGACTCGATCAGTCTGTGGCACTGCTCAGGTGTTATGAGAGCCCAGGTTGCTCTGATAGTCGTCTTCAGCTCCTCTGCATTGTTGGGTCTAGCGTATTGCATCCTCCGCTTCACAATACCCCATAGATTTTCTATGGGGTTAAGGTCAGGCGAGTTTGCTGGCCAATCAAGGACAGGGATACCATGGTCCTTGAACCAGGTGCTGGTGGTTTTGGCACTGTGTGCAGGTGCCAAGTCCTGTTGAAAGGTGAAGTCTGCATCCCCATAAAGTTGGTCAGCAGCAGGAAGCATGAAGTGCTCTAAAACTTCCTGGTAGACGGCTGCATTGACCCTGGACCTCAGGAAACAGAGTGGGCCAACACCGGCAGATGACATGGCACCCCACACCATCACTGACGGTGGAAACTTTACACTGGACCTCATGCAACGTGGATTCTGTGCTTCTCCGCTCTTCCTCCAGACTCTGGGTCCTTGATTTCCAAAGGAAATGCAGAACTTGCTTTCATCAGAAAACATAACTTTGGACCACTCAGCATCAGTCCAGTCCTTTTTGTCCTTGGCCCAGGCGAGACGCTTCTTGCGCTGTTTCTTGTTCAGGAGTGGCTTGACACACGGAATGCGACACCTGAATCCCATGTCTTTCATGAGTCTCCTCGTGGTGGTTCTTGAAGCGCTGACTCCAGCTGCAGTCCACTCTTTGTGGATCTCCCCCACATTTTTGAATGGGTTTGTCGTCACAATTCTCTGCAGGGTGCGGTTATCCCTAGAGCTTGTACACTTTTTTCTACCACATTTTTTCCGTCCCTTCGCCTGTCTGTTAATGTGCTTGGACACAGAGCTCTGCGAACAGCCAGCTTCTTTAGCAATCACCTTTTGTGTCTTGCCCTCCTTGTGCAAGGTGTCAATGATTGTCTTTTGGACAGCTGTTAAGTCAGAAGTCTTCCCCATGATTGTGGTGCCTTCAAAACAAGACTGAGGGACCTTTTAAAGGCCTTTGCAGGTGTTTTGAGTAAATCAGCTGATAAGAGTGGCAGCAGGTGTCTTCTATATTCAGCCTTTTCAGAATATTCTAATTTTTTGAGATACCAAATTTGGAGTTTTCATTAGTTGTCACTTATGAATATCAAATTTAAATGTAATGAACATTGGAAATACATTGGTCTGTGTGCATTGCATGAATATAATGTACAAGTTTCACGTTTTGAATGGAATTACTGAAATATTTTCAACCTTTTGATGATATTCTAATTTACTGGCCAGCACCTGTATATTTTCATTTTCCAAGAATTTCTCATATAATAATCCTATATTTAAGTTCATTTCAAGTCCAGGGCTGGGCAAAAAAATCGATGTAATCGATTCATCGATTTTGTAGCTCAAAAAGATTTTTATTTTGCAAACTCAAGTTTTTTGCCACATTAGTTTTAACGGATTTTTTCGCGTTTTGTCCTTGTGGGTTACCGTAGTGCGATACAAGCCAGCCCCCTCCCCCGCGCAACACAGTCAAAACAAAATGGCAGTGTGTAGCAGAGAACTGTTTCCAAAGAAAGGCACGGTAAATTCAATCGTTTGGAACTGGTTTGGTTTTGATGCAGCAGACGAAAAACAGACAAAGCCTTGCTGCTAAATTCGTTTAAAGGCTTTTGCTACTGGAAGCAGCAGTACAGCAAATCTATTCCAGCACCTGAGGAATAAACATCCCGAAGAATGGGAGAAGTGCAGCCAGCTCCGTAGCCAAAACGGCACCTCTAGCACACCTGCTAAAATGCAAACTACACTTCTCGAAAGCTTCACAAACTGTGTGCCTTACGATAAGAACAGAGCGCGATGGAAAGCGATTACAGAGGCGATCACGTTTTATTTTGCCACAGACATGCTGCCAATTTACTCTGTCGACCAATGACGCTTTAAGCACATGCTAAAAGTATTAGATGCTAAGTACTTTGTCCCCAGTTGCAAGTATTTCGCCGATGTAGTGCTGCCTCACCTGGACAATACAACACAGAATCTCATTTACTTTTTATTTTGAGATTCGTCTACGCATTTTAAGTCTTGAAGACAATCACAGCAATAAAGTAGCACTTTTGACAATATCTGATGTCTGCAGTAATTTTTTTAAGTGCACTGAAAAAAAAAACCCGAAAATCTAATAGAAACTCGAAATTTCCTTTTAAAAATGAAAGATTTTTCTTCTTGGCAAAATCGCCCAGCCCTACACTGGTGTGAGAAATTCGTTCTCCGCATTTGACCCACCACCTGGGGGAGCGATGAGCTGCAGACACAGCCGCGCTCAGGAACCATTTGGTGGTTTAACCCCGCTATTGAACCGCTTAATGCTGAATGTCAAGCAGGCAGGCATCCAGTCCCATTTTTAAAGTCGTTGGTATGACCCGACCATGGATTTGAACTCACCATCTCCCAGTTTTAGGAAAGACATGCATCTAGGCCATTGAGCTGGTAATTTATATTTAAGGGTTGAATATGGAACACAGACACCCTGGCGACACCTAGTGTTTAGAGGTTGTAGCTGCAACTGAAAACATTTTCCAGCCATCGGGGACTTGATTCACTGCTGACACGTTCAGTGACCAGCCAGGATCATGTCCAGTTTCAAATTGTACAGGGAAAGAACTAATTTCTACTAATGTGTTTATTTTACAACAGTATTTATTGTTAGAACATTTTCTGGGCTCAGAATCAGCTGCTTGACTTATCAAGTCTGCCATTTTACACAATCTGAGTTTGTCATAAACATGGCGACTGAAGCGGAGTTCGCTGTGGCACTTTATTCTGATCTAAATGACTTGGACACATATTTAAAACCACAACAAGTAGAAGTGCTAAATGCCTTTCTTCAAAAAAATTTTTTTTAAAAGATGGTTGCGCCGTTGCCAGACGCCATTTTTGCCAACAGCTAAAAAAACTACAGCGTTGCAGCCGGCATTTCCGTCTTTTTTCTGATTCGTTTTTTTTAGCTGCCTAGTCCCTCCCCTCATGTGCCTCTCTGCCTGTGAGTAACCAGACTCTTTCTCTGTGCAGAACAGGGAGCCTAAGTCATGCCCATCTACTTCCGCACCATGGGTTCCCAGAAGAACGAAAAAATGAATGCAAAGTCAACGGGGCTTAAAACGCTAGTTTCTAATTCCGCTTGTTTTGTTCCATGGATTTCACATATGATGTCCAAGAATTTTAAAGACACATTTTGATACTAAGAACGTGCTTATTTTTGAACAGGGAGAAACGCTATTTTAGGTTTTGTGTGAAAATAAGTCCAGGACTACAAATTAGCTTCACGAAAGTGACGTCATTGAACCAGGCACGGAGAAAACTGAGGGAAAAGGTTTGTAAGTTCAGCGAACTTCCCACAGAAGGAAAGAGCCACCATAAATCTGGTCATGTGGTAAGTAGCAGCTATATTTGGGGAGAGGAGATTATGTGGTGATGTCACATTAGCGACGTGCTGATTTTTAGTGTGTAATCATGCTAATTACGAACTTTTACAAGCTGACAGATCTCAAAGTATGTGACTGGCGTGGTTGAAATACCCATCATTACTTTTCATTTAAAGCGCAGTACAACTTATGTGCGATCCAGGGTGTAAGGCTAAGTGGATTAGAAAATGGCTCTTTTAGCCCCGTTGACTTGCATTCATTTTTTTCATTCTTCCGGGGACCCATGGTGCGGAAGTAGACATAGGCTTTCTATTAAACAGAGGACGAGTCTGGCAGGCCAGGCTCTAAACCCAGTGTCGTACCCGACAAAATTAAAATTAGATTTTTATTTATTTTTATAGCTTTTGAAGGAAAAACTGTTCATTCTGCACACCCCTAAACTCCCCGAGGTGGCATTATTTTTTTAAATATAGCTTTTCATTAAAATGTTCTATATTCCTCCTTTAATATAAAAGGTTAACAGTGCCATAAGCATTATGCAAATAATACTTTCTTCCTATTAAAGAGTTTTTCTCTTTACTGTCGCCACATGCTCGCTTATGCTAGACCCCTTGAAAGTTATTGTGTACACCAGAGGTGCTCAAAATGTAGTCCTTAAGAGTAATCCTGTGCAGCCTTGAACTGCATTTCATGAAGATTAAGCTGCTGATGCAGAAAACCAATTTTTAAACATTGCCTCAGACTTTTTACTAATGCAATGAGTCAAGAAATGCAGACAAATTATATGCATTAAATGCATTGATAATTTGATAATATTAACACAACAGCTTCTTTAACCTATGCTAGTATACCAACCACCATTGTGAGTTAAGGGTTAATTTATGTATGAAATGAGTCTACATTCATGCTTTGCCCAACTAGTCAGTTATGGCTTCTAAAAAGCTAGCTCACACAACAATAGGCAGGAATTCAGATGGCTACATCCACTTTTTGTTTATGATCAATGCCAAAACATGAGTCATATTCAGCAAATTAATACAGAAACTGTTTTCACATGGTTACTCTCTGTATTGTCAGCAGAAGGACAATAAAACTGTATTCACATCATCTGAATTAGGTTGCTGTCGGGTTCAAACAATACCACTTTCCATTTGACTAATAATCTCACTTCAGAGTGTGTTGGATGATGAATATCCATCACAAGTGCTTAGTAAAGCGTGAAAATGCTGGAGAACAACACAGCTGCAGCGTTTCCTGTTAGCTTCCTCTGTGTGTCGTTTTTGTTTTTAAGAGCAAAGTACAAACTTTTAGTTTTCTAGAAAGTTAGAAGATAAATATAAAAATGTGCATTTGTCAGTATAGTTTTTAATTTTAGTGAATAAAAGAAATTGTTTATTTTAATTTGGAAAAGCACCACGTTACCAAAGTACAGTTTTTATTATCGTTCCTACACGGCACTATGCACTAGTGCCATTAACCGTCTCCTATCGATTTTTGTGTGGATGTGGCTTTTGTGATGTCCACACGGCCATCATGATGTCTCAAACTAGCATAGGCACTAAAAATTTTACAACTCTTCAGTGGGCTTGGCCGGGTAATGGTAGTGGCCTTTATTACGAGCTCCTCTGCTGGCTGGCTGAGCCTGCCTTTGGGAGCTGGGCCGACTCAGGAGGAGCTCTCTGCGAGATGGAAAAAAAAATCTGAGTTTCTTCCAGAAAAGCCTGCTCTAGGCTTCAGGATGCCGTCATTGGAGGGATGAGTGCAAACAAAATAAGGAGGTACCAGAGGAAAAGAAGAAGGTGAGCTGGAAAATGCTATTTTAGAAGATCGTTTTACAACAAAGACAACAAGACCATCAATAGTACTGCTTTCTGTGCTAAAACCAGGCGGTCCTAATGAACAGTGTGTGCATCTGTGCTGTCTGAGAGACTGATGGAACTAGGAGGACCGAGTGCCCCATAATGAAGCCTGCTCGTTTACTTAATAGCTAACATTGGCTGCACTGATAGCGACCAAACTAAGGCCTGTGCTGGTAATGGATGGAGACCACCTAATGATGCTTGTCCTGCTCCCCACAATATTGCTGCCTACATGTTGACCAGTGGGTTAAAATCCTAAAAGAGCAGACAGAACAGGAGCCACTAGAAAAATGGATGCAGAGTCCTCTCAGGCCGATTTGCTGATGCAAATGTACTGAACATTTAAGCTCATTAAGTTTAAATTAGCGCTGTCAAGTGGGTGCCAACAACAGCTACTAAGTGTGCTTTTAAAAGAGTCTCCTCTCAATAAGGTCCGTGCAATGGAAATCATTTTGTCTAGGTCAAAAGAGCTAAAGAGAATGTTTGAATGAATGCCCTTAACTTAATCCTAATATGGGATTAAGAACATTAAAAACATCAACAACAAAAAATGGGACATCTTTGAACAACATGACTTGGAAACAGCTTCTTGTTCCCAACGAGTCAAAAAAAAAAAAAGAAACATTCAAGACCAATAGGACTGGACGAGTCAGCAGAGAGTCCTCGTCTTCATCAACTTGAGCTGATAACTAGTCAGTTTGTTTTCTACCTCATCTTATCTCCTCTGCATTTTGTTGCACAGAAGTGAGCTGCTCTGAAACAATCAGCCCAGACCAAGCTCTCGTGTTCTCCAAAAGGAGAAAAGTGTAACCCATCTTACCACAGAACAGCTGCTCTGGATGACTGAGGGCTCCAAAACACATGTTCCTGGCTACGCAGAAGCTAACATTTTAAGCTGCAAAGAGCGGACAGATCTGCTCAAATAGCAGCAGATGAGAAAGCATAAAGGTGGACACCACCTATCCAGCCCACGAGCTTTTCTTCTTTCCTCCTTCAAGCAACAAAGAGCCCAGAAGACAGGGTTGATGTTGATGGAGGAAAACAGCATAGTCAATCCAAGTACATGGGTAGGGTTTGGAGTACACAGTGGGGATCTGGTGGTGCTGTTTGCAGGTTATTAACTATGCATTGGTGGGCGACTGCTCCTGTGACAAAAGAGCAGCTTTGGAGTACCCATCAATAAGAAAATGGCCGATTAATAGTTCTCTAAATCGTCTATTCTAGTCAAGAAGGAAGCCAAGAAGCAAAAGCCACCTGATCCTTTTAGGAATTTCCCATTCCAATATCGACATCAGAAGTAATTCGTATTCACTGCATCAAATTCATTAAAAATCTTCTATATAAGCAGTCCGTTAAGGTTCACATTTTTGCAAGCAATGGTTTAAAAAAATGTGTCTTTTTTCATTCTTACTGTTATTGGCTCTTGTTCTCTGACTGAGTAATATCACTTGATCAAGCCTTTCATACAATCCCCACTATGAAATAGATAAAAGTATGTATGATTTACGCTGATATCGTATCAGATTGATATCGGTCAACACTGAAGGCTGCAACATCTGTATCGTATGGAAGTGAAAAAGTTGCATCGGGACATCCCTAGATCCTTTCCCTTCAGCTGTTTAGGAATTCTTCCATCCAAAAGGTTTAGGCCCTGTCCACACGTAGCCGGGGATCTGCCAAAACGTAGATATTTTTCTACGTTTTGGCCTGTCATCCACACGAAAACGGAGATTTTTCACACGAAAACGGATCTTTTTAAAAACTCCGGCCAAAGTGAAGATCTGCGTTTTCTCCGTTTTGGGTGTCTGCGTGTGGACGGACAAAACCGGAGTTTTAAGGTCCGCAACGTCACTTTCCGCGACAAAAAAATGCTGACATCACGTGTGCGACCTGTGTTTACACTAGCCGACAGCATGGATGCCCTCAGAGCTGCGCTCGCTTTATCAATTGTCCAAGCGCTTTTTGCTTGTTTGTTTTTCCAAGCGGAATTGCTGCTCCTTGCGGAAGACCACAGACGAAGGACGAGGTTAAGAACGGGGGGAAGTACTGCCGCCTACAGGTCTGGCATGTCCTTAACAACGTATTTATCCGGGTACGTGTGGACAGAGTTTTTTTTAAAACGAGGTGGTGAGGATGCAAGTTTTTGGAGGGGCGGATATTCGTTTAAAAAAAAACCCGGCTACGTGTGGACTAGACCTGAGATTATCGTACTGAACTCATATGCAGACAACCCATTACACGTCATCAAAGGCTTGTTATTTTCACTGGTATCTGCCCACCTCTTTGATGGCCTCGTAGACAGCTCGAAAAGCAGGCTGCTTATCATTGTGATAAACTCCTCTGTTACCATGGAGAATAAAGACACCTTCTTGTTCAGCCTGCTGACAATTGCTGCCATAGATGCAATGGTCTGGACGGTAGTTCCACTGGCAGGAGAACACATAAAGGCTTTCTGTAACAGAGCAACAAAAACACAAGAATTATTAACAACATCAATTGTTCCATATGAATCCACTACAATCTGAAATGAATTATAAATGTCCCAAAAAGTAGGAAATCTCTGAGAAAGCCATGTTTGTGTTAATATTAACACATTTTGAATGAAATGTAGCTAAACAGAAATGCCACCTCACCTGGATTATGGTGAAATATGATATTAAGAAGATCCTGGTCACCCCAGGTGATGTTGAGTTTGTACTTTTGGAGAAGAGGCATCAGAATTTCCTCCCATTTCAACGGCACGGCCGCCATGTCATTCTGGAGGGAGGAAACAAAGCAACAGTGGTGTATTTCTAGTTTTTACATCAAAACAGCATTGATCTGAGAAACTAGAGGACAGATCTTTCAGTCAACATCTTTCATCACTTCTAATGAAGCTGTTAAATATCTGAGCTCACAAGAGGAAATCTAAAAAATGAATTACAAGACTGACCTCTACTGGCTAAATGTTTTAGTGCAGGAGCGCAGATCCATTTTATTAAAGTGTTTTTTATCCGTTTCCCCATTTCACTGGCTGTGTTACCGATTACCTGAATGCAATATGTGAAATTAATAACATTTCAACTCTCAATGCTGAACTGTGTTGGGTTTAAAGCCACAAGTACATAATTTCTGTTTAAGAACAGAAAAGAAAAATATGAAAGAGCCATAAGAACATGGACTCCAAGGTGCCAAACCCCTCAGGTGTTCGACACAGACGACGGTTTTGAAAAGGACTTTCACCTTGAAGAATTTTTCCCTGAAGCGTGTCAGGTTCATGAGCATGACGCCAGAGTTGATGCCCGTATTGCCGTGGTAAGGGTGACGTGCAAAACGGTTGTACCAGCCAATCCGGGGCTCCTCATGCTCCGGCGCCATGGCAGCCAAGTGGCTGGAGTTAAACTGAAACAGCAGCGCCCAGATGTCCTCAACTGGCTGCAAAAAGATAATGTCTGTGTCCACATAGAGCAAAGAGTCCACTTCCTTTAGGATGAGCTGGAACAAGAGAAGAAAAACATACTTTTTTCTGTTTAAACTGATGCAGGTGGAAAGGAGTGAATGAGTTGGGACCTACTGGGAGGAAGAGCCGCTGGGAGGCACAAGGTTTAAAGAGTCTTTTCCACTCCACAGCATTCTCCTTAGGAAACGTGATTGGATAGATGGCGAAGGTGAACTTGAGTCGGAACGTCTTTAGCCACACCTCCAACTTGAAAAGAAGACACACATGCAGAATAACCTTTCCTTAACCTGCATTTACAATGTTAATCATTTTAGTTTTCAGTCCCTGTATTTGCAAATATGATGTTAAAATAAAAGAAACTGAAGAACCAAATGGTAAATGGCCTGTATTTGATATAGCGCCTTCTAGTCCTGGAACCCCCCAAGGCGCTTTACAACACAACCAGTCATTCACCCTTCATTCACACATTCACACACTGATGGGGATGAGCTACAATGTAGCCACAGCTGCCCTGGGGCACACTGACAGAGGCGAGGCTGCTGAGCACTGGCGCCACCGGTCCCTCCGACCACCACCAGCAGGCAACGTGGGTTAAGTGTCTTGCCCAAGGACACAACGACAGCGATCGACTGAGCGGGGCTCGAACCTGCAACCTTCCGATTACGGGGCGAGCACTTAACTCCTGTGCCACCGTCGCCCACAAATGATCTGCATGATTAACGACTGTTTTACAGACATGTCTTCTGCTTTCTTTGCTGATTTAGGCAACATTTGCTAAAACATGACGTGATGTGGAGCAGAAATGTTATCAAAACTGCAGCAGACTTTGTGTAACTAGAGGTTGACTGATTAGACCAACTTATGGGATTCTTTTAGTTTTATGTCAGTAACCTATGCAAGCAGCTTAACGCTCTTACACTTGACACTTTGCCCTTTAGTCAATGCATGTCCCACGTTGGGAGTGGCTTCACATCACGGGGGGGCTTGTGTGACCTGTAGCACAGGTAGGAATATGTAGCGGTCCACATAAGCTCCCAGGTCTGACTGATTATCGTTATCAGGGCAGGTAGAAGAAGCATCCGCTGGGTCTTTTTGCTTTTATGTTTAAATGATCTGTAAGCGCATGTGTGTCAAAAGCCAGTTAACTTTTCTCAGATACTGTTGAAAATTATTTCTTTACTTTATCTCCAGCTGCAATGGAACAACTTAACTGCGGTTTATAAAAAAAAAAACAAGATCCCACAATGCTTTGCCTTTGTGATACTGCCAATTAGAGATGTTCCCCATCACATTGTTTCGCTTCCAATCAGTCATTTGATTTTGAGTCCTGATGCGAAACTTCAGCAATGCATTAAATAATGTGATAACAGTGATATTCTCATCTAAGCTGTTCCTTTATTGTTATGTATTTCTTTCTTTTTGTATTTATGTCACTTAATCAGTTTATTTACCAAAAAAGAACATCACTCGTCCTGGAAGTACACTGTTAAGTACTGATATACCTAAAAATTGCCTCGTCGCTCATGCTTCTAATTATCTAAACAGTGTGCAGCTGTAATGATTGGCTGACAATTTGTCCAAACTGCTGACATTTTCATTCTCCTGAGGCAACATGCTAGCTCTGTGTTAGCCTGTTAGCTAACAGCTACAGGTTATGGTTAGGGAATTCGCCGTCTTCCGTAAATCAGGACATTACTGTTTTTATGCTGTTTATGAAACGGTTCATTTTGACGTGGACAAACTTGTAAATAGTAAAACCAAGTCATTGTCACTACGTTTGAAAATCTGTCTCAGTAATCATTTAAAACGTTTTGTCGGATCTTTTCCACCGGATTCTTTAAAAAAAAAATCACACGAACAAGCTCGTCTTCTGATCATGTGAGCAGATCGGAGCTGACGCTGTCAATATCTGTTACTTATATAAAACAAATGAAGGCGTAGTTTGAGCAGGAGCAGTATTGGCGAGCAGGGTGTGGCAACATCCTTTACTGATCTGTAGCATGAAACATTGAACTCATTTTCAAGAAGCAAGATTACCGTAAATCCTCTAATACAGGCCCGGGCCTGTATTTGACTCAAGCTCATCAAGCTCCAGGCCTTTATTGGAAGGAGGGCCAGTATTAGAGGCAGGCCTCTATTTCTATTTGAGCAAAATGAAGTAATGGTTCGCTGGAGTTTTTGACAATTAAAATTGCGCCCACATTTTCAAAGTTAAACACATTTCTTTTAACAACGGTAGTTTCTGCTTCAGCCCTCTCCCCCCTCCCCCTGCGCAGCGGCCGCAAACTCACTGATGCGCCTGCAGCCTCTCAGAGTTCCTGCTGCTCTAAACATTAAAATAATTATTTCATTTTCTGTTCCTCACTTCTGATGACCTTCAATGGTGTCTGTTTGTTGCAACCAGCAGGTACAAAAACTAACTTGTTTTTATTTGACTAGTTTTCTGTCCTGTCTGTTTATTATCTTCCTGCATCTCCTCTCAATCCTAAAGAAAAACTGCTGCCTGGGTTCATATATATTCACCTTATGAGTTACCTTTGAACTGCAGTTCTAAAATATCTACCGACCGCAAAAACAGCGGAGCGCTCGCTGTTTGGCGGCTGTATCAGTGATCAGTGCGTCGGAGGACAAGGTGATGCCCGCAGCGCCCCGCTCCACAGCATGCAGCGATACACATCAGGCGCAAATAAAAGACAGAAAACATTAAAGGAAATGAACCGACATGAACGATCGCGTGTCAGTACCCACGGTCTGGCACAGCGCGTTGCTGATCACAGAGAATGTGATCATACGATAATTCAATAGGGAGCGTGGTTTCACAGACGCGGAAGTGATAGCGTCGGTGAAACGCCGGCTGCTCTAGGAAACCCCCGAGCGTTCGAGCGTCAACGAAGTGACACGGAAATGCCGGGCTTTCCAGAAGTAAGTAAGATAACTTACTATGAGCTGATAGTTCGTTGGATTGATCGGTAGGTTGGAAACTCTGATCATGAATCTGAAGAAACGATGACTGAGTGGTGAGCTGGAAAGGCGACTTCCGTTTATAGCCGCGGTTTGTGACGTAGGTGCGACGTGGAGGGAATCCCCGCGAGGGGCATGCTGGGAGTCCCTACTTCGCGGATTTTCACCTATCGCGGCCAGGTCTGGAACGCATCTACCGCGATAAACGAGGGATTACTGTAGTTCATACACCCCCTACTACTGCTCTCCAGAGTGTTCTGCAGCATAATCAGCATGTTCTCTTTGAACTTGATAGTGTAATGACCTGGCTGGGGTTGTAAGCCAGGTGCATTCTGGGTATTGTGTTATATGTGTTTCCTATCGTTCTGCTAGTTCCTATGTGCTGATTTGCGTGTTGTGTGAGTGTTATGTAAGCCACAGGGAAGTTGATGTGTGTTCTGTGGAGCAGGTTGAATTAGCATGGTTAACTGACACCGTGACTCTGTGTGGTAGGAGCGTGATAGAGGATCGTGTCTGTAGCGTTACAAAGCGTTGAAGAAAAAGCCTAATAAAGGTCTGCGTGAACCCCTACTGCCACCTGCTGGTAGATTTGTGGACTTTAACCTTGCCGCTGGGACGCTTGTACTTGCTTGTTACCACATTCCATCCGGCCACAATAAGAGACCGGCCATTATTTACCTCTGCTGACTCCGACACCGGCCAAAATTGGAGACCCGGCCTTTAATTGAATACCGGCCTGTATTAGAGGATTTACGGTAATTTCTTGTTGCATTTCTGGGCTGGGAAGGACACTCACTGCACTTCTGAAGCTGTCATGAAGCTCATCCTCAGCAAAGACGTAGAAGTGCAGAGGCTTTTTGCTGAAGAGTAAAGCGGACTTCAACATGGTGAGAGTCTCCTCCAGCCTGGGCCCGCAGGCCACCACAGCCAGGTGACTTCTCTCATGACCTTTGACAACAGAGGCTGTCCTCTCACTAAAGGACGAGACAAAGTTAAATAAATAAGTGAGCAATTTTTGCTTTAACTTTTACAACAAACATACAGTGATCCCTCGTTTATCGCGGTAGATGCGTTCCAGACCTGGCCGCGATAGGTGAAAATCTGCGAAGTAGGGACACCATATTTACAGTATTTATTTAACAGGTACGTATTCAGTATTCAGTGCTAACTCAAGAAAAAAAATGTTTACTTGGTTTTTTTATAGTTTTATTACAAAAAGTGCATTTTATGATGAAATTGATGAAAAAAACAGGAATTTCTTGATATTTCGCATAGAAAAATACCGTGAATCGGTGAAAAATACCGTGAATCGGTGAAAAATACCGTGAATCGGTGAAAAATACCGCGAATCGGTGAAAAATACCGCAAATCGGCGAATTTCCCTTGAATAAGGCTCCAAAGAAAAAATCCGCGAAGTCGTGAATCCGCGATAAACGAACCGCGAAGTAGCAAGGGATCACTGTATAGTAAATATATCAAGCATTGTGATAGCAATAGTCTCGGCTACTTGTTGCTACTTTACAAATGATTCAAATGTTAAATTCACTTTATCACGTTTCCTTAATTTATTTTACTGGTAAATTGTCTTTTCCTTTCTACATTACAAAGTTTGCAAAGCCTCTAATCAGAATCATAATTAGCAAAACAAGTAATCACTAAATTTGCATTCAGTGAAAGAATAACATGTTTAACAGTAAAGAGAACAAAAAACAACTCAATCTTATTTATTCATTTTGTAACAAACAATTCTGATCTTTGCTAGCTATAACATACCTGGGCTAATTGACGGCAACATGAATGGGACACTAATTACAGTAGAATGGTGCATTGTTTTGGTATTTACATAAAGCTCAAAACAGAAAAATAAGCTCATGCTCATCACTGACATGAGTGGAGAGGTGTTATGGCTTTATTAATGCTAATCTCATCACAATGTAAGTGAAAGGGCAGATCCTCAGTGTGGGGTGATAAGATATTGCTGTGTCACATAATATGAATGTTAATCATTTGGCAGACCCTGTGTGTACAATGATACGGACATTCTTTTTTGTGTTTTTGGAGAAAATTTCGTTTGTTTTCATTAAACCAAGAGAACCCAGGAACACTGACACAGCTACAAAGGACCTGTTACCTTTGCTATCATTCATACAAGTTCACAAAATAAATCATACCTGAGAGATGATTCCAATAAGCAGTTCACTCCACAAACATCAGCAGGCAGTCTCCAATAATATGGTTTCCAGTAAGAAACGGACAGTGACTTACACCTGACAGGACAAAAACAGGACCTTTTGGATCTTTGATTCACCTCTTTGACAGTTTTTATTCAGAGCTGAACTGATTTGTCTAAAACAGGTGATGGAGCAGATGGCTGAGCTGGAAATCCAGCTTTAAGTTGGTGTTAATGAGTTAGCGGTGTTACTTAGCTTAACAACTACATTACTAGCAAACTGAGGTTAAAAGACAAAATAACGCGCAATCTTTGACAAATGACTTGTAAAAAGCGTAAAATAAAAATGCCATAAAACATCACAAGTTTACCTGATAGGTAAACTATTCGTGGGGTTTCCTACTTGTGTGTAGCTAAAGCGACTTTTAGAAAACTAAGCTAAGAGTTAATGATAACATATTCATTAGCTCGGGAAAAAAGAAGTAGCACAGCTTATCACGGTACCTGTCTGGTCCACCTTCTCGGTCTCGGAGGCCCGAAAGCCCAGGGGTTTTCCTGCTAAAGTGGTGGCTACTGTCGGGTATGGCATCATCTCTTACCCTCCGTTGCTCCCTGTCCTCCAAGGTGGAGGCTAGCTGACTGAACACGTACAGGAACGTGAGGAAGGTGAAGACCACGCACAGGAGAAATGCGTGTAGATAGCATCGCATTTTGTGCTTCGCATGTTATTTACTAAGGAAACATTTTAACAGGGGCTACACAGCTGCCATGTGGCTAAGCACTACCTCTGAGAACCTCGGTGAAGTTAGCATCAAGTTGGACGTTGGTTATTCGACATGACATTGGTTTACACCTACACGGTCAGCGATAAGTCTTCATGCCGCCCACTGCGGCACAGACTGCGCTAACCAGAGTTCCGAGGACTCGCTAATGGGGAACTGTGGTTCGCTTAGGGAATATCAACAAATTTGTAGTCCTCTGTAAAAGAGTATAAAAAAATAAAAAGCTTCCGGAATAATTTCCTGAATGACTCAAAGTTACTTCTGACTTGTGTTACTAAACTACATTTACAAGACACAACAGTTATAACGCATTTCACACAATCTGATCTTTTTTATTAGGATTTTCATCCAAAATTAAGGGATTTTTTCAATAGCCCCTAGGTAAATTGGTCAAAATACACAAAACCATTTCTCAATTGTGTTACTAAGCCAGACTAATGAGACACAGCAGTTTAAAACACGTCATACAATCTGATCTTTTTATTAGGATTTTCATCCAAACCTAAGGGATTTTTTTTCAATAGCTCCTAGGTAAACTAGTCAAAATACACAAAACCATTTCTCAGTTGTGTTACTGAGCCAGACCAATGACGAGACACAGCAGTTTATAACACATTTCACACTATTTGATCTTTTTCATTGGGATTTTTATCCAAAAAAAAGATTTTTTTCAATAGATCTTAGCTATATTAGTCAAAATACACAAAACCATTTCACAGTTGTGTTACTAAACCAGACCAATGAGACACAGCAGTTTATAACACAGTTCACACTATTTGATCTTTTTTATTAGGATTTTTATCCAAAATGAGGGATTTTTTCAATAGCTCCTACGTATTTTGCTCAAAATACACGAAAACCATTTCTCAATGTTGTTACAAAGCCAGACCAATGAGACACAGCAGTTTATAACACATTTCATACAATCTGATCTTTTTTATTAAGATTTTTATCAAAAAATGTATGGGGTTTTCAATAGATCCTAGCTAAATTAGTCAAAATACCCAAAAACCATTTCACAAATGTGTTACTAAGCCAGACTAATGAGACACTGCAGTTTATAACACATTTCATACAATCTGATCTTTTTATTAGGATTTTTATCCAAAATTAAGTGATTTTTTTCAATAGATCCTAGGTAAATTAGTCTAAATGCACAAAAACATTTCACAATTGCATTACTAAGCCAGACTAATGAGACACAGCAGATTATAACACATTTCATACAATCTGATCTTTTTTATTAAGATTTTTATCAAAAAATGTATGGGGTTTTCAATAGATCCTAGCTAAATTAATCAAAATACCCAAAAACCATTTCACAAATGTGTTACTAAGCCAGACTAATGAGACACAGCAGTTTAAAACACATGTCATACAATCTGATCTTTTTATTAGGATTTTCATCCAAAACTAAGGGATTTTTTTCAATAGCTCCTAGGTAAACTAGTCAAAATACACAAAACCATTTCTCAGTTGTGTTACTGAGCCAGACCAATGAGACACAGCAGTTTATAACACATTTCACACTATTTGATCTTTTTCATTGGGATTTTTATCCAAAAAAAAAAAGATTTTTTTCAATAGATCTTAGCTATATTAGTCAAAATACACAAAACCATTTCACAGTTGTGTTACTAACCCAGACCAATGAGACACAGCAGTTTATAACACAGTTCACACTATTTGATCTTTTTTATTAGGATTTTTATCCAAAATGAGGGATTTTTTCAATAGCTCCTACGTATTTTGCTCAAAATACACGAAAACCATTTCTCAATGTTGTTACAAAGCCAGACCAATGAGACACAGCAGTTTATAACACATTTCATACAATCTGATCTTTTTTATTAAGATTTTTATCAAAAAATGTATGGGGTTTTCAATAGATCCTAGCTAAATTAATCAAAATACCTAAAAACCATTTCACAAATGTGTTACTAAGCCAGACTAATGAGACACAGCAGTTTATAACACATTTCATACAATCTGATCTTTTTTATTAGGATTTTTATCCAAAATTAAGTGATTTTTTTTCAATAGATCCTATGTAAATTAGTCTAAATGCACAAAAACATTTCACAATTGTATTACTAAGCCAGACTAATGAGACACAGCAGATTATAACACATTTCATACAATCTGATCTTTTTTATTAAGATTTTTATCAAAAAATGTATGGGGTTTTCAATAGATCCTAGCTAAATTAATCAAAATACCCAAAAACCATTTCACAAATGTGTTACTAAGCCAGACTAATGAGACACAGCAGTTTATAACACATTTCATACAATCTGATCTTTTTTATTAGGATTTTTATCCAAAATTAAGTGATTTTTTTTTCAATAGATCCTATGTAAATTAGTCTAAATGCACAAAAACATTTCACAATTGTATTACTAAACCAGACTAATGAGACACAGCAGATTATAACACATTTCATACAATCTGATTTTTTATTAGGATTTTTATCCAAAATTAAGTGATTTTTTTTTCAATAGATCCTAGGTAAATTAGTCTAAATGCACAAAAACATTTCACAATTGTATTACTAAACCAGACTAATGAGACACAGCAGATTATAACACATTTCATACAATCTGATTTTTTATTAGGATTTATATCAAAAAATAAGGGATTGTTTTCAATATCTCCTAGGTTAGGTGAGGTGTGCCGGCAGTTGGGGTGACAAAGACTAGAACCACTCCGTTGCATCCCCAGAGTGACAGGCTGGTGGAATGGTTTAATCGCACTCCGGCGACTCAGCTGGTGATCCTCACCAGCAAACATCAGAAAGACTAGGATTTACATTTGCCAATGGTGTTGAGGGCGCTGATGTTCGGGAGGGAGCTCCGGATGCCAGTGGATCTGGTGTTGGCTCCGGAACCAGAGATTGTGGGGGGCCCGACCTGGATTATGTGCGACGCCTAAAGGAGGGGATTAAAGAAGAAGTCCACCAGCTGGCCTGGACCACCCTGCTAGTGGCTAGAGCTCACCAGAAGAGGGCGTAGGACTCCAGAGCTCATGGACCCTCATTGGCTTTGGGGGACAAGTTTTTCACTTTGGAAGTGGGGGGGACACGGGGGTGGGGGTGTATCTTTACAGTATGCTCTAATGGGAAACAGACTTCAACACAAACGGTTGTTTTCCACTTGGTCCTAGAGCTCAACCAGTGTCAATTTAATATAGCGTAATATTGTTTTTGGATGATAAAAAGTGCAGGGGTCAAAACGTGTCTTTGGAAAAAGTGGGGGGGGGGACAGGTCCCCACTGCCCCCCCCCCCAAAAAAAAAATGTTACGCCCATGCTTGAGAATGCGAGAGATTGTGTCTTGAGGTGGTGGCAAGGTTTTGATTCCAAAGGCCCACGGGAGAGGGAGGCGCGAGAGTCTTTCACAGGAAGTGAACGCAGAGAGCTTGAAAAGTCCAGGACAACTTTAGGTGAGGGGTGCAGAGCTGGTCAGTCGGGTTGTACGAGCAAGGCATGGACAATTGTGAAGTTGGTTGAAGTTAAGGCTGGAGAGTTGAAGGATAGGAATTTGTGATCCTGGAGGCTAAAAAGAAATATAGTCACATAGGCTTAAGAGCTGAAACAACACATTACCTATAAACCAAAGGGTTTGCCAAGCACTAATGAAGTTGAGCTGTACCCAAGGAGAGTAATCATCCAGCAAGTTGTGGTTGTCTCACTACTTATTTTATCCCCAGGCTGGGTGATGGGAGATCAACTACAGCTGCCTGCTGCTCTGCACCACCCACCTGGCAACTGAGCACTCACAAGTTGTTAGTGAAGGCCACTCACCTCACCTCAGGGTAGACAAGCGTGGTCCTGCAGGTTTTCTAACTATCTTTGTTGTTCCTGCTGTTGATTACCTGGATCAGGTGCATGACGGCATAGAAGCTGGGAGTTCATGCATGGCTGGAAAACATGCAGGAGTGCGGCTCCTTAGAAACAGGGTTGCCTACCCCTTCCTCATATAATTTCAGTTACTATCACCAGCAGTGTGTAAATGTTAGTTTGTGATTAATGGAAAGCGTTTTGGGTTTCTTTTTGAAAGTGCTACATGAATCCAAACCATTATTATAAAGTTTATTATTGTTATTATTATTATTAACATCACTTAATTATTAGTAGTGTCATTCCAATGAAATGCCAAAATAAAACCATGATTAGCCAGGCTGTTACAGGGTTGAAGACAAATACAAAATGTATCTTACATTCATTGATAAAAAAAAGATCAGATTTTATGAAATGTGTTATAATTTGCTGTGTCTCATTGGTCTGGCTTAGTAACACAATTGTGAAATGGTTTTGTGTATTTCGACTAATTTACCTAGGAGATATTGAAAAAAATCTGTTAATTATGGATAAAAATCCTACTAAAAAAGATGAGATTGTATGAAACGTGTTATAAACTGCTGTGTCTCATTGGTCTGGCTTAGCAAAACAACTGTGAAATGGTTTTGTGTATTTTGACTAATATAGCTAGGATCTATTGAAAAAAATCCATAAATTTTTGATAAAAATCTTAATAAAAAAGATCAGATTGTATGAAATGTGTTAGAAACTGCTATGTCTCATTGGTCTGGCTTAGTAACACAATTGAGAAATAGTTTGGGGTATTTAGACTGATGTACCTAGGATCTATTGAAAAACATCCCTTAATTTTGGATTAAAATCCTAATAAAAAAGATCAGATTGTGTGAAATGTGTTATAGCTGTTGTGTCTTGTAAATGTAGTTTAGTAACACAAGTCAGAAGTAATTTTGAGTCATTTAGGAAATTATTCAGGAAGCTTTTAATTTTTTTTGTACTCGTTTACAGAGGACTACAAATTTGTTGATAGTCCCTAAGCGAACCACAGTTCCCAACTGCGAGTCCTCGAAATTCAGCTAACCGCTGTCTGTGTCGCAGTGCACGGCATGAAGACTTATCGCTGACCGTGTAAACCATTGTCTGCCGAATATCCAACGTCCAGCTTCAAGCTAACTTTGCAGAGGTCTTCTGGGACAGGTCAGGAAGTCCCGCGTAGTGGTAGGGTTGACGTTTACAAGTTTCTGTCACGCCTTTTCTATGACGTATTTCCGGAGTTACATTGAAATATATCCCCATTCATAAACTTTTTCACCTATCCAGTCCCTCCCTACGAAGGGGGTTGTAAACAAACGTAGAATAAAATCGTCGGGATATGAGAATTAATCTGTCGTTTTTGGGTATTTGACAAATGTAGGCTTTTATTTTTCTACTAAAAACAGAAGAAAAAAACTTATAGAAAATTTCTGGACAACTAGAATGTTTTTTTCTGCTATGAACAAAAAACAAAGCAGGTGGCTAAAAAGGAAGAAATAAAGGCAGAGTCGTATAAAAACAGCAACTTCCACATTAGCACCAAATTTAAATTGTTTAAATAAAACCAGGATTCCTATGAAAGCACCTGTTGAGATGGAAAATGTATCTAAAGTATCACTGCCCCCTACACAAAACTATCTGAATATATTAAGGAAGTAGGACTGATGGTGCACTATTCACAAAATGTTCCTCCATACATTTGCTTGAAAACAAAACAACCCAAATGTTTGTTAGAAACTCATTTAGGCAACTTAAAAACATCTTCAGAATGAAAGTTTGATGCAGGATCAGTGTGTAAAAAGGTAAATAATTAAAAAATTAAATGCATGATCCACCAAATGAATTGCAAATAAATTAAATGAAAGATTAGACCATGTTTTTAAAGAGATTTTCATGAATTAAAATTGCATGTAATTTTATTTTTTAATTATCTTTATTCATCATTGAACTCAAGTTACCTGCAGTAAATGGGTAACCCACAGATATGTTCCAAACAGTTTTACCACCAGGGGTGCATGAATAAAACTAACAATAAAAAAAAACCTCCCTAATAATGAGCCTGACAATTTCTCATAAACAAACGTAGTACAGTATAATCTTAACTGAGAAGCACCACTGATAGGTCAGATGTGACATAAAGCCCAAGTACTTTTCTGCAGTGCAATAGGAGACAACTCTAAAGTTGGAAATATGGAAGTACTTGAAGGCTTTTGTGTGCACAACAAAGTAAAGGTAAATTAAACATACATATAAAATAAAAAACATACCTATGCATCTACAACTAACTATTCTTTATTTCACAATAGAAACGTTTCTTTAGAATAAATCTTGTTTAATTATTGACTGATGGCCAAGCACATGTGGTTCTACTGTTCAGTATTTGTACTCAAATGCTAAACCGAGTTATTGCATTTGATGGCAGAAAACGAGATAAAACAGGCAAGAAACATTGTTATAAAGACAAATTGGAAATAACGCTTAAATTGTTGGCATCAAGTGCAAATAATTAAAAAATTTGAAAAGTAAACTGAGATGACTTCTCCACATCTCTTCCATAATCCCTCATTTATTGTGCAGCGACGGCGACCTGGGCAGGGCACTGAGGTCATCCACATCCAGGATTTGATGCTGTTGTTCCATTAGAGGTTGATCATGATGCATCACTTCTTCAGAATAAGCCTGACATCTGAATGCTTTATCGTCATCGGAAGGCAGTGAAATATCCAACCTTAAATGGAAGTGGATGCTATCCTGTTTAAGGTTTTATATATTTAAAATAAACGTGCACGTTTAAGTTTAGTCTCCTGTTGAGCTTTTAAAAGGTGCAGAATGAGGAGTTCTTCTGACTAGGGTTAGTGAGTCTCTCCATTGATGGAGGAGCCTTCTCCATGGGGTGAGGAGCATCTGGAGACGCCTCGCTCAGTGTTATCGGAGCTTGAGCCACTCTGACTGTGCAGATCTGCTGAAGCAGCACTTGCTGATGAGGATGTGGGTTTGGCTTTCTCTTTAAAGTCTGTGATAATTACAGTCAAGTCTCCAACTGTGACTTCCAGATGCTGGGCGCTGCTCCGGTCTATGTTTTTTAATCTGAGCCTAAAGAGCATATAAACAGAAATGTGATGAAAAAGCTGAGAAGTGATGAAGCAAAATGATTTAAAAAAGCAGAACCAGTCAACAGAAAAGTTATTTATTGATTTATTTACCTCGTCTTTCTATAGTTTTTCTTTTTCAGTGTGGAATCTTTGTCACTTTTGTCCTTGTCAGACTTCTCTCTCTTCTCCCTTTTGGGATGTGTTGGTGGTGCAAACTGCTGATTAACCTGCTGTGCAACAAGCTGAGAGACGGGCCTTGGTTTTCTGAAAGCAGGCAAGAAAATACAATCCCAGCATTACTTTCATTGTTGTTTTATTTAAAACACTGATGCTGAAGTGGGCCGAGCATGTGGTTTGCACCACTGAACTGAATATGCCCTTACCGTAACCGTGCAGATAAAAGGGACACCAACATGTTAGAGCTGCTCAGTCCGGTACACATGTAGCCGAGCTGGAATAAAATCAAATATTCTCACACCCCCCCCCCCCCCCCCCCCATCTAGAAAGAAAAAACTTGTGGTTCAGCACCAACTCACTGTCAGCAAAAAAATCCAGTGCATTGTGAAGCACACTCATAGGCATGCCAAGCCTCTAGGAGGCAGCAGTTCCCCAAATATGTAGCCGAGAAAAAAAATTCTTTGAACGTGGAATAACTGGGTTGTGGGCAATAACCGTTCTTCACGTCATTCTTCTCGTGTGGTCTTCTACTGAGGCCCAAACCCAATACTCGCACCTTCAACCCTTGAGCTCTTCAATAGTGTGTTTCTGGCACAGGGTGCAAGTGTGTAGGGCAGACCTGGGCATTTTACGGCCCGCGGGCCACATACGGCCCTTTGGTTGACTTTGACCGGCCCGCGTAAGGTTAATTGGAAATTACAAAATAAATGTATTTTCTCATTTTACCTCATGCATGGGCTAAGGCTGCATTGCTTTTATTTTTAAGTTGTTTTTTACGTGCACAATGACGCAATGCGTATAGCAACAAGTGTCCGCGGTTGACATGGTGATTGTAGCCCCAGAAATGTCCGCTCATGCAAAAAAAAAAAAAAAAAAAAAAAAAAAAGAAAGATGCCAAATACAGGATTTTCAACAAAAATTGGACTGCTAAGTATTTTTTTTTTTACTGAAGTCGAAGGTAAAGCCGTGTGTTTGGTTTGCGGGGAGGAGATTGCCGTGTTTAAGGACTACAATTTGAGTCGGCATTACGACAAGAAACACTCGGAAAAATACAAGAACTCATCTGATGCTGAGAGGGCACGGACATCCGAAGCTTTGCTAGCAAAGTTGCAAAAGCAGCAAGGCTGTTTTACTAAGCTTCACACATCCAGGGATGCAGCAACCAGGACCAGCTTTGTGATATCCCACAAAATAGCTAAAAACAGCAAGCCGTTTTCGGAGGGAGAGTTTGTCAAAGAGTGCATAGTGGACTCCGCAGCACTAATATGCCCTGAAAAAAAGGCGCATTTGAGCAAATCCCGCTGTCCAGGCGAACCGTGGGGAACCTGGAGCTTCAGCTGCAACGTGAAGTGGCAAGTTTGGACTTTTTCTCATTGGCCTTAGACGAGAGCTGTGATGTCCGGGGGATAACGGAGCTCACAGAGGAGCTGGCAGCAATGCGGTCGATGAAAGGGACAATGACAGGGAGTGATCTTTTTACAGAGGTAAATGCGTGCACGGACACTCTGGGATTGAAATGGGAGAGACTGTCAGGTGTCACAACAGACGGTTGTCCAAATCTTACAGGGAAAAATGTCGGACTTTAGAAACGCATGCAAGATAAAGTGACAGAAATCGATGCAGATCAAAAATAGGTGTTTTTGCATTGAATTATACACCAACATGTGTTGTGCAAGTCAGTGCTAAAAATCAACCATGTTACTGATGTTGTAACTAAAATAATAAACTTCATCAGGGCTCTACCTACATTTGTGAACAAACATTTTCAATGATGATGTTTACAAAATCCAGGTAAAGATCCTCTCTCACTGATGATCATTTGTCAGCTGTGCTTCGCTTCTCCACCTCAGACATTCAACCTGACTTTGATGCACTCGTTAAAGTCCAGCAGAGACTAGATTTCTCTCATTGAATAAGAAAAAAATCGCTTAAAAACACAAAATAAGGTGTTTGGACCACAAATGTAGGCAACTAGCAGTGAACTGGGACACTTTTTTTTAAACCTCTTTCTCAAGATCACAGTTCAGTGATTTTATTTTACAGACAATACTGTGTGTCTGTAGAATGCTAAGAACCTCTTTCCAACAATATTTGAAACTCAAAATGTGTTTTGGAGTGACTGTGACTAAAACTGTTAACTAATATAAGTCACAAATGTTTAACAAAAACCAAATGCGAACACTTTGTTTACCATTGCCTTGGGAAACTTTAATAAATCAAATTTTTGTAAGCCAACCTCACTTTTTCCGTTTTGCTCATTTATAACATATAGGCTACTCTTACCAGTTTGAAAAAACAATGGTATTTACTGCTTTTTATAAAGAAATACCATTAATATTATGCATAATTGACTTCAGCCTTTTGGCCTGGCCCTCCACAATATTTTCTATTTCTCATGTGGCCCTGTGGAAAAAATAATTGCCCACCCCTGGCGTAGGGTGTCTCGATTTTCAAGCGCGAAAAGTGACCACGCCCATTTTGCTCCCTTAATGCACACTTCACCCACAATATATTGCTGCATAGGACTTTTGAGAAGAAGGCAGAACAATGGCTCAAGCAACTTTTCTGAAAATATGTATTTTCAAACAAAAAAGTTCATTTTAAGACTATTAATATTTATTTATGCTCTATATGTTTTAGACTAAGATTTCATGTGAACAACAATGAATGTAAAATTTGGCAAGAAATTGTTTGTTTGAAAATTGTTAAGTAAAAAAAAAAACTAGCATAAACAGCAGCCGGTGTGCGTTGCAGTCAGTGACGTAATACTCAGTGTCCCAAATCAGCAAATGTGTACTCACTTATATACTACACACTCGAAGCCTTATGGAGCACATCCTCCAAATGCACTTCGCCAAAGACCATAGAGCGTAGCGGGAGTGTTGGAATTGAGCCATAGAGCACTAACTGAGCTTTTAAACAGCAAGTAGTCACACATGTGACGTCAGAGCACTTGTGTCACAAGCAGCATTATGGGGTGCCATTTGTAAAGTCAAACAGTCATAATCTAACAGCAATATTTTTGGTTATTTAGCATATCATAAGAGAAAAAAATTGGGAGTTCACTTTTTCGAAGTCATATTTTCATCATGTTATTCATACATTTATAAATGTTAAAGTTTCCAAATAAATATTTAGTTAGCAAGATAAATATTTAATTTGCAGTTAAATATTTATTTTGCAAACTAAATATTTAGGTCTGATCTAAATATTTAGTTTGTAAAATACATATTTAATTCACTAACTAAATATTTAATTTACTAATTAAATATTTATTTTGGAACTAAATATTTAATTTGTAAATTAAATATTTATTTTCCGAAATAAATATTTAGATCCCAGCTAAATATTTATTTTGGAGCTAAACATTTAGCTTGCAAAATCAGTATTTGGGAAATAAATATTTAAGTCTGACCCAAAAATATAAACTATAGTGTGGAGCTAAATAACATCATGGAAAATAAATATTTAGCTGGGATCTAAATATTTCTTTGGAAAATATTTAATTTACAAATTAAATATTTAATTTAAATTTTAAATATTTATTTCCAAAATAAATATTTAATTAGTAAATTAAATATTTAGTTAGTGAATTAAATACTTATTTTACAAACTAAGTATTTAGATCAGACCTAAATATTTAGTTTGCAACATAAATATTTAACTATAAATTAAATATTTAGCGTGCTATCTAAATATTTATTTGGAAACTTTAACATTTATCAATGTATGAATAACATGGTGAAAATATGACTTTGAAAAAGTGAACTCTCAATTTTTTCTCTTATGATATGCTAAATAACCAAAAATATTGCTGTTAGATTATGACTGTTTGACTTTACAAATGGCACCCCATACAGCATTACCAAACCTAAAACCTGATTTACATCCACAAGCCAAACCTGGCAATGGAGAATTAACAACTCTCCACTTTGGTCAGAGTTCTTAAAGAATCGTTTTTGGTGTCGTTTATCTTCCATTTCAAATGGATGACAGGACAAACCATAGAAAAATGTGATTGGGGGGGGGGGGGGTGCAGGTGTTGTGGGAAATTGTGTTCCCCTGAAATATTCTGTTTCTCTTAGGCAATCATGAGCAAATATTTCCAAACTCACAGGACTTATTGTTCATTACAAGGACTAAACAGTGTGGACGGTTCAACGTCGCAGCTGGGGGCAAAAGAAACGGATCTCAAAGGAGGAACATATCGACGTAACAGAGTGAACAATAATGTTTTTACTGTACTTTTGTTTTTAAGAGGACATATAGATTAAAAATACATTACAAGCATTATTACAAATGTCAAGATAGTCTGAAATGTGACCTCCTGACACGGGGGAACAGAATATGTAATGGAAACACAATTTCTCAACACTGAGCCATGAACTTCTCTGTCACGCATCTCTACTATAAACCACGTGGGCACGGGTTGGTCAGAGTTTTACTAGCTGATCGTGCTAATAAATGAACAGCTGGAGATGCACTCACCGGGTCGACGTCCCCTTCCTGACATCACACATCATGCACTTGAACGCCTCGGCGCTGTTCCTGAACGTGCACACGCTGCAGTCCCAGTACCCATCATCGGAAGGCTTAGACTGCCGCTTTGGCCTTCGGACACAAACAAAAACAAAACACGCAAAGGATGAAAGTGCATAAACCTCCCGCTCGACAAGACGCGTCTCAGCTGGAGGGAGGACGCGTTACTAACGAAGAAAAAACCGCAGAGGACCGTCGGTTCTCGGACAGCTGGCCCCCATGTTACAGGACCGACCTGCCGCCATGAACGCTTCCAGTAACAGCCTCCTCCACTGACCGAGCTTCCTGTTAACCAAAGGCTTCACTCGAACTCACAGCAGGGAATGTTTTACCTGGTGGGACTCTTCTTGTCTCCCATTACACCAAATATGACCCGGAAGAAAGGAACGTCTGTAACGTTACAGGTGGAAAAGAAAAAAAAAACTCCACGCACATCAGCAGCTTCTCAGCTGTCTTGGAAAGTCCAGCCGTCACGTGACCAACGCTTAACCAATCAGCTTTCAGACAATCTCAACGTTATAAATGTGACAAGAGCGGTGAAAGGCGCTTTTAACAGAGCAGAGACGCGCACGTATCAAGTCCTGATGAGGATTTAAAACCTGCCAGTCAGCCAGCACAGTGCTGAAAACCTAAGGGGCAGTCATACTCATTATGTTTGTTAGCCTTTCAGACTATTGCACCCAGACTTTGGAACAGTCTCCCTTCAAATCTCAGTCTCTCTAACACTGTAGAGGTCTTTAAAAATCAGCTAAAACTCACCTTTTCATCCAGGCGTTCCCTCCTAAATGTTCAAAAAGATGACTTTGTTCGGGTTCACACCTTCACTTTGTTTATACTCATGATTTTATTTTCTATTTTATCACTGCTATTGTTTTTCTGATGTTTTTATTGTTTAGAGGTATTTGCCCTGATCTTTATCATGTTGTACAGCGCTTTGTGATTTATATTTGTGAAAGGCGCTATATAAATAAACTTTTACTTACTTACTTACTTTATATGGAAAACGGGGATATTGATGAGTAAGAAGAGATGGAAGTGCCTGCTGTGAGTGCCTGGGGCCTCATTTATCAAGCCTACTGACGCAGAAAACGGGGTCGAAAACTGCGTAAGCATAAGCAACTTTCCACGCAAACTTTGGAATTTATGAAAGAAAACTTAGCGGAAGATGTGCGCAGCTTTAAGTTGACTAGCTGGTTTACGCACATTTTGGACATGGAGAGCACCTGCAGTGCTGCTGCTGAGAAGGATAAAATTATGAAATCCTGCAGCATTATCACTTGTACTGCTTCGTTTTCACACAGAACAAGACCCCCCCCACACACACACACACACACACACACACACACACACACACACACACACACACACACACACACACACACACACACACACACACACACACACACACACACACACACACACACACACACACACACAGCCTGAAGCGCAGAATACGGAATGCAAAATATCGAGTAGGACCTGGCTGCAGACATCAGCTGGCGTGTCACTGGAAAGAACTTTCAAGTGAGAACAAGATGGCGTGTCATTACTTTTACCGGAAAATCGACAAGGGAAAGACTTTTTCTCTTCTTTTTTGTGTGTGTCTTTGCTTTTTTTGTGTGTGTCTTTGCTTTTTTTTATAACAAACTTTATTAGTGAAATCGGGCATCTTACATAGCAACAAAGTAAAGCACAACAATGCAAGCAAACAAACAAAGGGGCCAAAGTGATAAAACAGTGTTCAAATGATAAGAATACAGAGCACAATCAGGTATTACACGGAATAGAGAGGGGGAAATGTGTTACCAGTTGTACAAGTCGTAGTCTTCAAGTAGGTTCCAAGTTTTTATAGCTTTTAAATTTCCTGAGTTTTTAATAGAATCAGCATAGTTTTTTAATTTCACAGAGGAAGACAGGTAAAAAAAAAAAGGATTGACATGGGTATATTTACACTTATTAATATACCGTAATATTTAGCTAAATAAAAAATAGGTTCAGTATGTAGATTCTATTACTCTCTTTGTCTTCAAAAAATCCAAAAATAACATGTTTCAAACAGAAGGAGACAACAGGAAGAACCTTTTGCTGCAGAAGAAGACATCAGACCAGAATTTAGAAGTATTTGTACAGGTCCAGAACAGGTGAGTAATTGTTTCAGGATGATTGTTACAGAAAGAACAGCAGGTGTCAATGTCCTTTTTAAATCTTTGGGAAATAAAATGTTTAACAGGGTAACAGTTGTAATATTTTAAAAGAAACCTCTCTAATTTTATTAGTTAAAATATATATGTGGGGTAAAAGCCAAGTTTTATTCCATGGAATATTATTTACAGTAGAGTTCCAAAATGAAATAATAGGGAGAGGAGATGGAAAGCTGTTGAAAAAGACCTCTGGTAGATTTATTGCATGATTTATTTGGAGAAAAGCACATTTTACCAACGTATGTTTGAGCGAGGTCAGTATGAGTCACCAAACCATCCAAAACAGAGGATCCTGTTAGCAGCATCGTGATACCAGACAGTATTGCATTCATCACAATCGTGAACTCCCTAGGAGAAACCACTACAGGATACTTTTCTGTAAATTCAGAGAAAGTGTAACATTGACCATTAGGTTTTACTAATTGGTTGACAAGAATAACATTATTATCAAACCAGTTTTCAATAAACAGACTTTTTTGTGAGTGATATACTTATTGTTCCAAATAAAACAAGTATGTGGTGAGAAATTGTGCTTAAAAATGAGGGACCATGCCAACAACATCTGCTTGTGAAAGTTTGAGAGCTTCATGGGGATTTTAGGAATATTATAATTACAAATCAAAAGAAATTTTAGACCACCTAGTTTAGAGAAAATGAAAGAGGGGATGATGTTCCATACAGAAGAAGGATTGAGTAAAAAATTTCTGATCCAGTTAATTTTCAGAGTATTATTGAGAGTTGAGAAGTCTATAAAATTTAAACCTCCGTGATTCGCTGAATTGATTAAAAGAGATTTTTTAATATAATGAACTTTCCTTTTCCATACAAAGTCCAATAGCATTCTATCAATATTCTTTAGAGTGTTATTGTCCACATACAGAGATTGAGCAGGAAAGCCTGGAGAGACCTTCAGCTTTAGAGAGAAGGATTCTGCCTTTCAATGACAAATCTCTTTGAAGCCAAGAGTTTAATTTTCTTTGAGTTTTCTGGATAGTGGAGGAAAAATTAGTTGGGCATCTTAAGGTGGGGTCTTTAGATATGATAATGCCAAGATAAGTTACCTGATTTTTAACTTGAATATCACAAACAGAGGCAGCTGTGGATTCTTTAATGGATAATAACTCACACTTGTTTAGGTTAAGATAGAGGCCTGAGGCTTTAGAGAAAGAACTAATTAAGTTTAGAGCAAGTGGTATTTGAGAAGCATCTTTCAAAAACAAGGTGGTATCATCAGCCAGCTGACTAATAACAAGATGTTTACCAACAATTTCAATCCCCCTCAAGGGACTCTGTGAGATGTGAGTGGCAAGAAACTGAACGACAATCAGAAATAAATAAGGGGAAATCGGGTATCCCTGTCTTATACCTCTGGATAATAAAAATCTTTGTGAGGTGCCAAATTTGAGTTTGATGGAGCTGTTATTGTTATTATACAGAGTTTTAATTGTACTACAGAAGTATGGGCCAAACCCACATTTTTCTAGAGATTTGTAGATAAAATTATGCTCCACCGAGTCAAAGGCCTTTTGAAAATCGAGAAACATAATGAAGCTATCTGTGTCGATGAGGTCACTGTAGTCGAGAAGGTCCAGGACACAAGCGAAAGACCTCGGCCAGAAGTTGGTCTTTCTTGGCGGCTGCTACATTGTTTTTGTGGTTTTGTTTCTACTCGGTGCGTTTCAACGAGGTAGGTAAGGATGAAATTAACTAACGCTTGTAACCATTCTTAGTTCCTAAATGTGTAGCATTTAAAGCTTTACCAGAGAATTATTGCAAAGGCACCGTGTTTCATAGCTAATTTTATCAATATTAACCATCGATATTAACACAGTCTTAAAACTAATGCAGGGAGTTCACAAGCTAACACAAAAGCTACATCAACAAAGCAATCAGCTATTGTAGGTTAGCTTTAACTTAGCTATTTGATTTTTCTGGTCTCCCTGTTTGTTAAAACAGTTAAAGTAATAATGTTAACTTTATATATAATTTAGATATGATATAAAGACCACAATTTCTAATACTGACTTGACTGAAACGTTATTAATACCCTTTTTTAATTAAAAAGCTTAGATTTTCAGAAATTTGTAAGTGGTTTCAATCACTAGTTTTCATACAAGGCTGAAGTTAGCTTCCGATTCAGGAAATGGCTAAAGGGCTAATACACCCAATGTTTCTCTACTCTGACCATTTCTAATCTACTCTAGCTCAAAAACTACAACACGTACACTCTTCAAACCTGTTGTAGATCATTCTAGGCTCGTAGCAGAATGCATAAAACATAGTTTGAGACTTGTTAAACCTGTTTTGATATGTGAAACTTCAAAAAAGACAGATTTGTGCATTTTTTTAAGTATCTGGTCCACACTAGAACTGGTCCTGTGCAGAAAGTACAACACCCACACTGTTATAACCTGTTCTAGATTACTCTAGGCTTGTAGCAGAATGCATTAAACATAGTTTGTGATTTGTGAAACCTTTCTCTGATTTGCGAAACTTCAAAAAAGACAGATTTATGAATTTATTTTTCAGCATCTGGCCCACACTGGAACTGGTCCTGTGCACCCAAAAAAATGTTTTTTTCTGGACAAGCTTAGCTTTCAATATCTCTAAATATTTTTCAGTTATTGTGTGTGGTATTGTGCTGGGTCATTCGACTGTGGTTGCGCAAATCAGGTGTCCTGCAACAGGTACAATAACTTTGAAATAGCAGCCGCTTCTCTAATTATTGCCTCCCTCTTTCTGATTCTGTTTCAGAATAATCCTAACCTTATAAAAAATAGATATTTTTTTTTCGACTGACTGCTTTGATCGGGTATGGTTTATGTAAATATTACTGGATTTAAGCACATTTAGTTGCAAATCATTCAGGAGTTAGAGGCCTTAAATATAGATCTAAAATGAATATCGGACTTCTTCAAGTGACACTGACAAAACTCCTTACATGTGCTTGTATTCTTCATTTGCTAATAAGATGTATTTTTATCTAAATTACAGGACAATCGAGGCTTTGAATAATGGAACCCAGGCAGTGATTTCAGATGGTGAAATCAAGGTAATGTTTAGTTATAGTAAATTAAGACTCTAAAATTGGACATAGGATAATGCAGTCCCTTGTTTTCTGTGGTAATGTTGCTTATTATTAACTCTTGTCTCTACTCAGACTTTGTATAAGGATCTCTGCAGCGGTAGAGTGAAGTCTGGCCGTATGTATCTGTGGCACAGTCCAGGTGTCTCGCTTAAATTAAAGCAAAGGCTAAAGTCACTGATGTTCCACTTTGCTGATGCACAGGTAAATGAATACTGACTTTCAATAAGCTGCATCACATTTATTTATCTCGACGCGTGGCCAGTGGGTCACCTGGGTCCATTATTAATCAACAAACAAAACATTCCTCTCAGCATTAGGCAACATTTATTTATGATTATATATA